GTGCTCAAATTGGGGTGGATTGGGATCTGAGTCAATATTCCTAAGTATACCGGCTTATAATGGAGAATGTTTTATAATATGTAGATTCGTAACTGAACTATGGCTTAAGTATGCTTTAAGTTATGTTTTCATTCAAGAATACACCTCTGTTTGATCCTAGCTTACCATGAGGCCCATACTTCAAATAGTGCTATCTTATCTGAGTAGTATCATTCCCACAAAGAATAAAACATCGTAAGCATGGTTTGTTACGCTTTAGCACCATATACATCAATTAGCGAGCACATTTTGGGATGATTGTCTAGGAAGCGAGGAAGATTCGTCCTTTTGCCAGAAATTCTCAATGCACTTTCCGCACGCATGCGGCCAAAATCTATGATTCATGATGCTATCATGTCAACATGGAACGGCACTATCTCACATCAGGTAGCGATGTTTTCTAACGTTAAGCATATGGTGATAGAAACGAAAAATATATATTCTGAGTAATGCTGTTCTGGAGGCAAAGAGGAATCCCTATAAACGCCCTTTTGTACTGTACGCAAGGAAAGCCGATTATGGGCATGATCACTGACACAATGAAGTCTAGCCACGTTGAGTGATATCAAATAACCCAACATTAACAAAGTTAAGATTATAGACACAATGGTAGACGGAGAGAATGAAACACAGAGATTCAAGTAATCTGACAGTAACTTGGTATAAGGGAATATAAGAGAGGGACTAAGAGTGATCCATGGATGCTATTACCAGGTGAGGCGTGGTGGTTGTGTGCTAAGAGAAGAAAGTGGACAACTAGATTATGAGAAAGCATAGATCACCAACAAAAGTGAGATATGGTAACATTTATGGCGTAGTCCACAAAAACATACTAGGTCAGTTTCATACCACTTTTCTCTTTTATACGTAGATCTTTGCTCGTTGTAGCCAGTATTTTTTTGTAGGAATGTGGTTAGAATTTTGTGAGAGAGTCTAGGCCGAATTAGTTAAATTAATACATATGTTCATTATCCTCAACCCTACTGGCTTTTTCTACTTATCATATCTAAGAGCCATCTGTGCTATACCGAAAGTTCGAAAACCTTGCTGTTTCTTCTTCAAATTATGTCACAATCTATACCTCCCCTACCCCACCCCCCCACTCCACATCCTACCCCCACCCCCCACGACTCACCCCCCACCGCTCTTCCCTGACTGTTTGTTGTAGATAATCACATATACTTAAACACACAATTTAACAACACAGTAGTGTGATTCAATGCTGGGTTTTAATGGTGGGTTAACCAGCCTGAACTTTGGTGACTAGACATCCGCTAATTAGGGAATATAAATGATTTAATATATGAAGAAAGACCTTTGAATGTCTCATATGAATGAACGTTAATGTATTTTCCGCCCACGCCACCCCACTTGTCAGAACATGTTCTCTGTGTGAAGGGGATTGTTTACCTGTATAAATGTGCACACACACGCCCAGTTCACACAAACACAAAATAAATTTCAGCAATCAAACAACAAAATGTTTAACATTATTTTAACCATAAATGATTGTAAGCGTAAACTCAATCTTCTTATTCCAACTGAATTATAATTTCACCAATCGCACTCCCACTCACCTCACTTATCTTATATCTTCTTATATACCATAATTATCTAATACTGCGACCCCATTCTCCCTTCTCTTTTTTTTTTCTATCTTCCTAGCTGTGCTTTTTATTTGTATTACGTATATTCTCCTGCACCCATGTGGTATTTGCTCACAGATAATTGACAACTCTAAGTAAAGAGTTTAACATCAGAAGCATGGTGTCTAGTGTGTGTGTGTGTTGTGTGTGTGTGGTGTGTGTTGTATTTTTGGTTTCTTCACTTTTGCAAAAATCAAGAAAATATACTAGTAGACACTCCCAACTCAAGTCTCAACTACCACTGTCCATTACTGCTGAACACTTGTTGTTTAGCAGCTTATCAGTATTTCCTATACTCATCTCAACCAATATACTCATCCGCCTGTATTTCTGGCTAAAGCGCCTTAAGTCAAACCAATCAGCACCTATGTGGATCCAATATATTTGGATGCGTTGCTTCTTACCAAGCTTGCTAACGTACCTAGACCAAACTAATACCTCACACAGAAGATCGTATACATGTCACGTTTCCTGCACGACTTATAACCAACATTGGGGGTGACACACCAGGGGTCTACTCGAATGACAGAGAGGAGTCCTAACAACGTATGAATACAGCCCTTTCATAGTGATACCGAACGAAAGTAAAGCTCAATCTGGTCTACGAATATTAGCATCGTCATCGAAACATCTGTAATACTATTACCTCCATTACAATACTCAACAAACTGAAATTTGTTCATACCTCTTGCCGGACACAAGCGCGCATTATTTTGCCTATACGAATCCACGTTTACCTCAATCTACTATTTACCACTTCATCACAATACCTCTCGTTTAACTACTCATGTCAGTGTCATGAGTGTGCTCCTTGCACAGCTCAAGTGCTTACTAGGGTAATGACTTGG